AAAAATAGGAAGCACTAAACTGAAATAAGTAAAAAACAGTAAAAATAATAAGCTGGAAAAAATGCCAATTGTCTAACACTCCTCCTTGGCATTTTTGTGGCAAACACCAATTCGTTGCCTCAGATCTTCAAACCTTTCCTTTGGCAATGACTTAGTGAAAATGTCAGCTAGCTGGTTCTCAGATGAACAATGAACAAGCAACACTTCATTAGATTGTTGGACTTCTCTAATAAAATGAAACTTGATCTTGATATGCTTAGTTCGACCATGAAACACTGGATTTTTTGAGATAGAAATTGTTGAACTGTTGTCACACATGATCTTGGTAGCTTCTGTTTGTTCATGGCCCAAGTCCTTCAACATCTTCCCTAGCCAAAATAGCTTGATTCACAGCAGATGCAGCAGCTATGTACTCAGCTTCTGCTGTTCATTGAGCTGTAGTTTCTTGTTTCCTAGAGCTCCAATTAAAACAACTTGTCCCCAAACAAAAAAGATATCCAGAGGTGCTTCTTGAATCATCAACTCCGCCACCCCAATCACTATTAGAGTACCCGATCAAGTTCAGAGTTTCTTCGGCAGATGTTGGGAAAAAAGTTCCAAACTTGCTGGTTCCTTTAATATACCTTAACACTCTTTTAGCCGCTGTGAAGTGTGTGTCTCTAGGCGAATGCATGAACCTAGAGAGCAAACTTACAACAAATAGAATGGCAGGTCTGCTTGCGGTTAGATATAGAAGACTGCCAATTAAGCTTCTATACATACTATCATCCACTTTTTCAGAATCCTCATCCTTGCCAAGCTTCACACCAGTAGTGATTGGAGTACTCACAGGTTTGCAGTCTTGCATTTTGAACCTGTTTAGAATATCCGAAATGTATTTCTTCTGGCATATGAAAATTCCATCACTGTACTGCAACACTTCCATGCCAAGAAAGTACTTCATGGCTCCAAGATCAGTCATTTCAAAGATTTTCTCCATTTCATCCTTGAACCTTTGGATTAGTTCAATTTTGCTTCCTGTCACAAGCATGTCATCCACATAAATTGAGACAATTAAGGACTCACCTGCAGTGACTTTTACATACAGAGTAGCTTCACTTTGACTTCTACTAAAGCCAAGTTGGATGAGATGATTGTCCATCCTCTCATACCATGCCCTTGGGTCTTGTTTTAGGCCATACAAGGCCTTCGTTAAGAGATAAACTTGATCCTCTTTTCCAGGAATTGAGAAACCATCAGGTTGCTCTACATAGATCTCTTCAGCAAGCAAACCATTCAAAAAGGCCGATTTGACATCAAGTTGATGAATTTGCCAGGAACTATGAGATGCAAATGCAAGAATAAACTTGATTGTGTCATACCTTGCTGCAGGAGCAAATGTTTCCTGGTAATCCACACCATATTGTTGTGCGTATCCCTTCACCACCAATCTAGCCTTATGTTTGCAAATTGTTCCATCAGGATTGAGTTTTGTCTTGAAAATCCATTTTACACCAATCACCTTGCGATTTCTAGGTCTGTCAACAAGCTGCCAACTTCATCATAGCTTGTTTTTTCAGAGGTAACCAAGTTACACCGCTGATAGACATCTTTCAAGGATCGAGTTCCCCTCACATCTTTCAAGGATCGAGTTACACCGCTGATAGACATCTTGCTTCATTAAACTTCACTTCTCGGCTGAGAATTAGTTTTACTGATTTCAAACAGAAAATCCTGTAACCTTTGGATGAACTATAGCCCATAAATATGCCTTTATGAGCCTTGTTGTCCAGCTTAGTCCTCTTTGTTTCTGGAACTCGATAATAACATATACACCCAAAGATTCTGAGATGGTGTACTTATGGTTTGTTCCCACACCAAGCTTCATATGGAGTCATGTCCTGCAAGGCCTTAGTAGGCAATCTGTTCAGCAAATATACAGAGGTATTAACTGCCTCCGCCCAAAACTGATTTGGGATCTTTCTTTCGAGCAAAAGACATCTGGCCATCTCCATTACTGTCCTGTTCTTCCTTTCAGACACGCCATTTTGTTATGGAGTGTATGGTATGTCAATTGACGTTCAATACCTGTGCTATTACAAAACTCCACAAACTGAGAATAAGTATATTCTCCTTCATTGTCAGACCTTAAAGCCTTAATACTAAGATTACATTGATTTTCTACTAAAGCTTTAAATTGTTTAAAAACATCAAAGACTTCACTCTTTAGTCTAATGAAATAAACCCAACAGATTATGGTGTAGTCATCAATAAATAGGAGAAAGTATTTGTTACCACTCAATGAATCTGTTTTCATTGTGCCGCAAACATCCGTATGAATGAGCTGAAGTTTCTGGTTAGCTCTCCATACTTGATTTGCTTGAAATGGCAATTTTGTTTACTTTCCCTGTTGGCAAGTTTCACAAACTTGAGCATTAGAAAGAAATTCAGGCATATTTTCCACTAGCTTAGTCTTTTTCATCTCTGCGATGCTTCTCAGATTGAAGTGACCAAACCTTTTGTGCCATAGGTTTGTACGTGTTTGTGAAGTAATATTGTAAGCCTGCTCAGTTATTTTCTCCCAATTAACTGAAAACATTATGTTGCTCATCTTGACATAAAATAATTCTACTCCAGAAGGTCAGAAACAACACATTCACGATTCTTAAAATGCAGAGAATAATTATTTTCAAGCATTTGTCCAACACTCAACAAATTTTGACTCATATCAGGTGTGTACAAAACATCAGGAATAGTTTTGATACCTGATATTGTTGAGATAGACACTATACCTCTGCCTTTGACTTCTACTGCCTCACCGTTTCCCACTTTTACTTTAGATTTGTATGTATCATCGAGGAATTTGAACATTTCAGCATCATTGCACAAGTGATGTGTGCAACCACTGTCAAGAAGCCATGAATCAGAGGATTCATTGATTGAAAAGTATGAAACTGCAAAGAGTTGCTCCTCATGTGCATCTGCAGCTTCTGCTACTTGTGCTTGCAAAGCACCAGAGGCCTTTGCTCTTGACCTGCAGACCTTGGATATGTGCCTGTCTGCTTACAATTGCTGAATATTGCATTGACTCTCCACCAACAGTACTTCTCCAGATGTGTAGTTCTTTTACAATGTTTGCATGGAGGGAACTTCTGCTTCATATATCCACTATTGTTTCCTCCATCATGCTTGCCCTTATTATTTTGGTTGACCTGTTGCTTTCCTTTACCAAATATTTGTTTTTGTACAGAGAAAGCTCCTTCAGTGAACTTGTCCCGTCTCATAGTCCTCCTTTGCTCTTGGGCTTGAAGAGCACTCATTAGTTCACCTAATGAAAGTTTGCCCAGGTCCTTGGATTCTTCAAGAGAGGAAATCTTAGATTCAAACCTCTCAGGAAAAGTCATAAGAACTTTCTCCACAATTCGTTTGTCTGTAAATTCTTCACCAAGAAGTCTAATGTTATTAACAATTAAGGAGATTCGATCAGCATACTTACTGATTGTTTCATCGTCATACATATTCAAGCACCTGAACTCTCTTTTCAGGTTCAACACTTGCATTTGACGTGTTCTATCGCTGCCTTGATATTCTTCTTTCAACCTATCCCAAGCCTCTTTTGCTGTTTTGCAAGCCATGATTCTGTAAAACACAGAATTTTCCACAACATTCTGCATAAGCGACTTGGCTTTAGATTTCTTTGCTTTCTCTTCGTTGTTGGATTTGATTTGAGCCAAAGTAGGATTTGCTGGTAGAGCAGCAACTGGTTTATCTTCCGTCACAGTTTCCCAAAGTTCATAGGCTTCTAGAAAAGCTTGCATCTTCACAGACCAGATTTGGTAATTTTCACCGGTGAAAGTGAATGGTGGATTTAAAGGTAGGTTGTTGGATGCCATTTGTGTTGTAGGTTAAAACTTTTGGTCTTGTAAGATCAACTAGAGGCTCTGATGCCACTGTTAGAACAAAAATACTCAAGAAACTGATTTGAAGAATAAAAATAGAGTGAACTTATAAAATTCCAGCTATGTATTAATTTGCATAAGATCTGAATTTATACAAGGAAAAACCTAACCATCTCCTATCTAGTTGCCACTTTCAAAGTGGATGTCAAAACTAAATAAGAACATGTGCCACTAACAACCATAAAAGGGGCCACTAACAGCCATTAAAGGGGTTACTAACTTCAGAAAGTTGAGCAACTAAAGTTGACTAAGTCTAGCTAGAAAAATAGGAAGCACTAAACTGAAATAAGTAAAAAACCGTAAAAATAATAAGCTGGAAAAAATGCCAATTATCTAACAGGCTACTAGCAGACAATTTACATGGAAATATAGGCATGTATGGAGTAAGATTGATAGAGCCATTTGCAATGATAAATGGATTATCAACTATGGTAATGACATTACAACTCAATTCAAGGAGAATTTCTTCTCAGATCACTCACGTACCTATCCATATGGAAATCACCGTTAATACAAATCAGAAAAAGAAGCCTTTTAAATTTCTGAATATATTAGCTGGGATAGTCAATTCTTACAAATTATTCTAACTGTACATCAGAAAATATTGAGGCAGAAATATTTCTTCAATTGTATGAAGGCAAGAGCCAGTTCAAATGCAATAGCTATGATTAACGATGCCAATGGGAATATCCTACCTTAAATTTTTTAGATAGAAAATGCTCTTTGACCAGCCATTCCCAATCACTCTTGTCGACCCCCTCTGGCACATCTTTTAGAACCTCTCGCAATGGCTTAGACTTCACATTCATGTGTAGAGATCCTTTCCAATTGTTCCACAACCTTCTCATATGTTTCAATACATGATCTCTATGACCAATCATGTCATCACTATCAAATTTTTCCTAATATATTTGGCAGATGTCATTAAACAAGAGACTCAAAATTTTAAAATAAATCTTACAGACAATAAATAATCAGCTAGGTTGTAAGTTATGAGTGTATCATTATTGATATACTTGATGGAGTGGGCTGAAAACAGAGGAACAATTGTAGGTTTGGACAAAACAGAGGGACAATTGCAGATAATAGACAATTAACAGAGCATAAGAACAGATGGACAATTGCAGGTTATAGACAAAACAGAGGGACATGACTGCAGTTTACTTTTGTTCCTATATTTTTTGATATGTTGCAGAAAAGATCAAAGAAATGAACCAGCAACAAGATTCAAGAAATACAATTCCATCAGTAATATTCATTTAAATCCTTACAGTGACAGCTCCCCACATGTGTTCCAATTTAGCTTCTTCGATGTCTGTCCATGAGTGTACTCGCAAAGGACACATATTACGATCACTAACTAAGGAACCTAAGTGTCTCGAAAATAAAGCGTGATTATCCTCAACAACTCGATTGTGGTAAAAAGTGACTCTAAGCTTTTCTCCAGGTTTGAGTCCTGTAACAACCTTACACAAATTTGGTCCTCTAACCTTTTTTATCTTGTCAAATTCACATGAACCTACAAGTTTTGATATAAGTCAAACAATACAGAATCTCAATCTATAAACAATGAAGAAGTTCTAACAGTTTAGAGAGTTAAATACCTGCTTTACTTCTCTGAGTTTCTTGCATCACTTCAACTTCATCTTGAGGAAGAGTAAGATCATCTTCCATTGGATCTAATCCCAAAGGAACACGGTTATTATTTTTTGTGAGTTCATTCAGATCATACTCTGTATTTTTAGATTTTTTATTTTTTCCATTCAAAGTTCTCTTTTCAGCACACCTTCTCGGAGAGCCCACATATGTAAAGCTTTGTGCTCGCTCCCTTGCTAATAAAACATTGAAATAAACTCAATCCACTACCAACAAAATGAATTACATACGAAGGCTCGGGATGCATCAAGGTACAAAAAGTAATATCAAGGACACCATACAACAAACTACAAAAGGAAAATACATGATTCATATCAGTAGTACTACAGTAGGTACCAGTTATTATAGGTACATGTGGGGACGGGGTTCTACTTGCTTTTCTAGTGCACATACTTGGACTACATTGTATATAAGACCTTGAAGGTTGTAAAATACCTGATTTACTTATCAAAGCCTCTGGCATTGCTTCAAGATCATCATGAGGAAAGGAAGTAACATGTTCTATTGGATTAAAATCAGGTTGCCTAAGGATCTTATTATATGCTCTTACATTCATATCAGATGATACAACACTATACCCTTTACTCTTTCCAATCGAAGTTCTTTGTACAAAAGTACTTCCTCTGGCAGAACCCACCGATGTAATGTTCTTTCCGTTTTCATTGCCTATAATAAGAACATTACAAAATCTCAAAGTAAATTCAATAAAATAAATCTGCATGTTTAGAAAATAACATAAAATACCTGGTTTGCTTCTCATGTTCTCTTTCATTACTTCATGATCGTCATGAGGAAATAAAGTTTCAACTTCGATTGCATCAAAATCAGGACAGACGACATTAGATTTTTGTGGAATCGCATTCTGATCATATATTGCAGAATTTAGACCTTTGTTGTTTCCAATCGTTATTCTCTTTCCGATGCCTCCTCTTATAGAGCTCGGAGATGTAAATCCATTTCCCCGTCCCATTACTTCAAGATCATCACTAGGAAAGAAAGTATCAACCTCTATTGGATCAAAGCCAGGTTGCATAAGGTTCTTATTGTGTGCTAGTTCATTTTTATCAGAAGATGGAACACAATAAATTTTACGTTTTCCAATAGAAGTTCTCTGTACAACATTACTTCCTTTAACAGAGCACACAGATGTAATGTTCTGCCCATTATCCTTTGCTACAATTCAAACATAATACAACCTTAATTGTCTAACAATTAAAATAATTTCATACTAAGAAAATGAAATAGGATTAGAACCCTGGTTTGCTTCTCATAGTCTGTTGCGTTACTTCAAGATCGTCATTAGGAAAGGATTTTTCATCTTCAATGCATCAAAACTAGGAGGGAAGACATTAGTCTTCTGCGCAATGACATTTTGATTATATGTTGCAGCATTTAAACCTTTGTTGTTTCCAACCATTGTTCTCTTTTCGACGCTTCCTCTTACAATACTTTCTTTAACAGAGCACACATATGTACTGTTATGCCCATTCTCCTTAGCTACAATTCAAACATTATACAACCTCAATCATCTAACAATAATACATTTTTGAGACTAAGAAAATGAAATAGGATTAGAAACCTGATTTGCTTCTCACAGTTTGTTGCATTACTTCAAGATCGTCATTCGTAAAGGAAGTTTCATCTTCCAGTGCATCAAAACCAGGAGGGACAACATTAGTCCTTTGCGCAATGACATTTTGATTACATGTTGCAGCATTTAAACATTTGTTGTTTCCAACCATTGTTCTCTTTTCGACGCTTCCTCTTACAATACTTCCTTTAACAGAGCACACAAATGTAATGTTCTGCCCATTCTCCTTAGCTACAATTCAAACATTATACAACCTTAATCGTCTAACAATAATACATTTTTCATACTAAGAAAATGAAATAGGATTAGAAACCTGGTTTGCTTCTCATAGTCTGTTGCATTACTTCAAGATCGTCATTAGGAAAGGAAGTTTCATCTTTCAGTGCATCAAAACCAGGAGGGACGACATTAGTCTTCTGCGCAATGACAAGTTTGATTATATGTTTCAGCATTTAAACCTTTGTTGTTTCCAACCATTATTCTCTTTTCGATGCTTCCTCTTACAATACTTCCTTTAACAGAGCCCCCATATGTAAAGTTATGTCCGATTTCCTTTTCTGCAATTCAAAAATGTTAATCAGTACAATCAATAACGTGATTTCTTCTCTGAGGGTTCTCCATACAAGATTTCCTAAAATTAATCTACTTAAACAAACATCCATTCAGACCTATTCAAAAGTACTACGAAAGTACACTTTCCTAAAGTTAGAGCTGGAATCAACTTAAACAAAACATCTTTCAAAACTATTCTAGATCAGAGAGCAGGGACAAAATAGAAATCCACATTACTATTTGTAAATGACAGTATCCGTTAACGTAAGAAAATGCAATGTACAAATATCTGTAGCTTGAGAAAATAAGACATAATATCCTAACAGTATATATCTATAGCTTTAGAAAATAAAATACAATACCTGATTTGCTTCTCAGAGTCTCTAGCGTTATTTCCGTTTGATCAATCAAATTTCTCTTTTCAGCAGTTACTCTTACAGAGCCTATCGATTTGAGGCTTTGCCCTCTTCCCCTAGCTAAAGCACCAGGTGGAAGGAATGATTGCTTAAAATTCTTTGAACTTGATCCCATTTCGGACTTCTTAAATATTGAAGGATTCATGTCATCCTACCATAAAATCCAACAATAGAGTACTTTTAGCTAAGTATCTTTTAGGATTCATATTAACATAGAACAAATATAAAAATAATAGGGTAAAAAAACAAAAGCTAAATGCTACTACACATTGTCTCTGTTCATTCTGTACAAAGTTAATAAATAGACATTATTGTTGGATCAACCTTTATTCACCCTAAGTACTTCAACTGATCAAATTTACATAAAGAAGATTCAGAATATAAACAAGTAATTGAAAACTATAAGCATCAACTATTCCAAACCTGTATGAGTTCTTTTTCTCTTCCTATCAATTGAATCATGTAAATCCTCAAAATCATTAACATTCTCTTGCACATCATCAAAAGAATCACGAGGCATAAACTTTTGCACCACATTCCAGCCTTTATTAGAATGATCTCTAGCATAATATACTTGTGATACTTGATTGGCTAATACAAAAGGCTCATCAATTTTCAAAAACCGTTGTGGGTTAACACTTACAAAGTCATATTCATCCATTTTAACTCCCCTTTCATTGTCATATACATCAAGCCACATACATCTAAACAAACCAGTCGTCTCCCCCCAACAAATTGTAATTCAAGAATCTCTGTTAGTTCCCCATAGTAATCAATGATTCTACCTTCTTCACCAGCCTCACCAGAAACAACTATCCCACAGTTTTGAGTCCTCAAACCATTATTGTAATCTTGTACATGGAATCTATATCCATTAATAATGTAGCCTTTGAATTTTGTAACATTTTTCATCGGACCACGTGATAATGTGAGTAAATCTGCCATTTTCTTACTATCGTCATGTTCGTATAATCCTTCAATCTATCATGATTAAGAACATAGTTTAGAAAATATTATCTATATGATTTGAAAATAATAGTTTTAAATAGTATTCTACCTTTTCTTTAAACCAACTGATGAATTGCCTATCAGATTTTTTTTGAGAGGAATCACCTGGAATTTGAGAAAACACTCTATAGAAGAGGAAACATAAGAAGAAATAAGGATTTAATAATAATTCTGAAGAAGTGATAAGATGATTATTTGGAAAAGTCATTACTTACTCGAGAAATGGTTGAACTTCATCACAATATTCAAAATATAAATATGGGCTTGCTCCATTTCTTTTAAATCAAGTAGGTGTGGCTTGCCGCCTTTTAAAGCTTTTCCAGGTTGACAGAAGATCATTAAACCTCCATCGGATTCTATAGCACCCCCATCATAGTTTCGTTCAAGGAGATTGAATTTTGTTTCCATTGTATGCAAATACCTTGAACATAAGGTTGTAAATTCATTTGCTATATATCCCTCTGCAATAGACCCTTCAACGCAAGATCCATTACGAATAAAAAGCTTCAAAAAATATAACCATCATTCCACTGGATACATTGAGCAGTATAACCATCGCTCTATTGGATACATTGATCGATATTGAACAGGTCTAACAATCATAGCCTCATTAGCTAAATGAATTGGCAAGTGCTCTATGACATCAAAAAATGCAGGAATGAAAACCTTTTCTAACTTGCATAGAGTTTCAGGAATTTGTGCTTTTATTTGTTCCAACTCCTCAAGTTTTAAGCACTTTGCTCCAAGCAGATTAAAAAATGATGACAACTCAATTAGCGGCTCACACACTTCATTGCATAGCATACTATGTATGGCAAGTGGGATTAAATGTTGAAGTAGAACATGACAATCATGACTTTTTAATCCTGAGATTTTGTGATCTTTCATATTGATACAGTGATAAATATTTGATGAAAATCCATCTGAAACCTTTAAATCCTTCAAAAAGCTTAAAAACTTATGCTTCTCTTCAGGAGATAATGTGAATCATGCTGTCGGTAACTCATATTTTTCTCCATTTCTTTTTGGATGTAATTCGTTCCTGATATTCAATTCTTGCAAATCCAAACGACTGGTCAAGGTGTCTTTTGTTTTGCCTTTGATATTCAAGATTGTTCCCAAAATATTATCACATATATTCTTCTCAATGTGCATCACATCTAAATTATGCCGCAACAACAGAGTTTTCCAATATGGAAGGTAAAAACATATACTCTTCTTATTCCAATTATCACCTCTACTATCATGTCATACTTTAACCTTCTTCTTTTGATCATTAGTTAGAGGTAACCCATCTAAATCAGCCACTTGGTCAAGTATGTCATCACCAGATAATGTATTTGGAGGTAATCTCCTATTTACAGTACCATCAAATGACTTCTTATCATTCCTCCATTTGTGATTAAGAGGAAGAAAGTGTCTATGACCTATATAACACTGTTTTTTACCATTTGCCAATCTTATTGAGGAAGTTTCTCTATTACAACATGGGCAAGCCAATTTTCCTTTGTACTCCAACCTGATAAATTTCCATAAGCTGGAAAGTCATTAATGGTCCATAATAAAGCAGCATGCAACGTGAAATTCTGTTTAGTGGACGCATCAAAGGTACAAACTCCAGTTTCCCATAATTTCTTTAATTCATCAATTAAAGGTTGGAGATAAATATCAATTTCATCTCCAGGACTTCCAGGACCGGGAATAAGCATTGACAAAATAAAATTTTCCTGCTTTATGCATAACCATGGTGGTAAGTTATAAGGAATAAGTACCACAGGCCAAATACTATACGGAGTTCTAGAACATCCAAATGGTTGAAAACCATCACTAGCAAGTCCAAGCCTAACATTACGAGGCTCCACAGCAAATGATTGATGAAGTTCATCAAACTTTTTCCATGCTTTTGAATCAACCGGGTGCCTCATAATTCCATCATTAGCTTTGTTTTCATGATGCCATCTCATTAAAGGAGATGTTTTTGAGGACATAAACAATCTTTGAAGTCTTATCTTTAAAGGAAAGTAGCGTAAGATCTTGTATGGTATATTTTTCCCCTTTTAAAATTTGGTTTCCCCATTATGTTTATCCTCCTTCCATTTAGATGCGCCACAAATTTTGCAAGAATCAACAAACTTGTCATTCTTCCAATATAGCATGCAATCATTCCTACATGCATCGATCCGATCATATGAAATCCCTAAGCTTTTAATTAACTTCCTTGCTTCGTAATATGAATCTGGCAAGTTTGATTCATCAGGAAACAAATCTTTCTTTAACATCTTCAATAACATATTAAATGAGTTATTACTCCAATGACCAATACTTTTAATATGAAGCAATTTCACCAAAGTTGAAAGTTTTGAACCTTCGTACAATGGTTGATCAAAATCCTTTAAAAGACTATAAAATCTTTTTGCTTCAGGATTTGGTTCCTCCTCGAGAACGTCATCATCTCTTGTATTCATATTAACTACATTAAAAGCAGGATGTAAATCTCTGAGAATGTCATGTATTTCATCCTCCTCAACATCCTCGCTAATTTTATCGTCATCATCTACAAATGCGGAATCTGATTCTTCTGTCTCACCTGCTGTCTCTCCATGGTGATACCAAAAGGTATAATTTTGAATTATTCCATGTACTATTAAATGTGATCTAACAATCTCTCATGTTCGAGACACTGCATTACAACATTTGACACATGGACATCTTATTTCATTTGCTTCCCTCAATCTCGTAAAAGTATAATTCAGAAAGCTTTCTACCCCATGTATTTAAGCATCATCAAGTCTATTATGCATAAGGCTGATTTTGCAACTTCAATTTATGCACTTTGGATAGAGATCTTACGAGAATATTTTAGAACAAAAGCATCTACCAAAGAGATACTACTCCATCAGATGAAGTTCTCAATATGTACAGAAGAGAAACATATCCATCGACTATTCAGTTTCATTTGCTCCCTATGAATATTCTGTATTAGTTTAATGTAGGTATAGTGTTATCATCAAAATTTTGAATCTGTTCAAAGTTTTGAATCTGTTTTCAGATAGAGTAGGATACTGAGAATGGACATAATTGTGTAGTTTGCTCTCATATTGTCAAGCTCACTGGAAATTAACAAAAAAAATCTTTAATTATCAAAAAAATAAATGGTGAAGGAGTAGAGCATGTATATCCAACAAGAAACAACTTTCCACTTATATACTCCACATATGTTTCATCTTTTAAGGTCTAACCCATCAATATAGAAGAAAAAGGGAAAACACAAATAGTCTCAAGGTTCTCTGAAGGAAGTTTTCCCATAAGGTATTTGGGGTTGCCACTAACACCTAAAAGGTGGAGTAAAATAGAATGTCACCAGCTTTGTGTGAAGATAACAGAGAAAATCCGTGCGGTGTACACACAACATTTATCATATGCTGGCAGGTTGTTGATCACTAACTTTGTCTTATTTTCTTTGCATAATTTCTGGGGTGCTGTCTTTATTCTGCCCCAAGTTGTGTTTAATGAAGTGGATAGAAGTGTAGGGAGTTCCTTTGGGGTGACACTGAGGAAAAAAGAAAAGTCTCGCTTGTGGCATGGGACATAATATGTCGACCTAAAAAGCAAGGAGGTTTGAATATTAAGGGTTGTAAGCTATGGAACATGGCATCAGTGGGAAAGTTGATATGGAAATTAGTGGAGAAGAAGGACATACTATGAGTAAAGTGGGTGAATGAATTGTATATGAACAACAATGAGACTTTTTGGTCACATGCCCTAAGTCCAAATAGTTGCTGGTACTGGAGACAACTACATAAGTTGAAGATAAGAATGACACATTGGTATAGGGACGAACATTACTGTCTTACAGAGAACAAGAACTACTCAATTTGTAGGGGTTATTTGGACCTGCTGGGACCTGCTCCTGAGTTACCAACTGCTGAATTAATATGAAACAAGATTACATTGCCAAAGCATAGGTTCATACTATGGCTGGCTATGCGTAATCGACTGCTAACCAAGGCAAGAAGGTTGGAACTGGGAATAGGGTGTGATAACAATGTATGTTGTCTATGTGAGGGAGATTAGCTTGAGGATGCAACACATATATTTTCAGATTGCTTGTGGACACAAGGCGTATGGGAGGCAGTGAAAAATTGGACCGGACTAGATCTACCTAACAAGTACGTGTCTGTGGCGCTATTGAAGATCAAAATGTAACACTGGAGCAGATTTAAAAAGGAAACAATGATAGCTATATATGGAGCTACTGTTTATAACATTTGGATTGCCGCAAAACATCATATCGTCACATCGAACAGGTAGTTAAGGAGGTTATATTTCAGAACACTCGAGCTTTTTATAATTGAGAGGATATATCAGTAAAGTACCACGGAGGAACCTAACATGTTATTATATGGCTGAACCTAAACATGTGTTCATACGGTGTATGACATTACATGAAAATCTATGAACAAAAGACAAGCTACTGTAGTGGGGAATGATAGTGGATAGGTAGTGTTTATTCTGCCAATCAATGCCTGAAACTAATGACCATCTACCAATCACTGCTCTGTTTAGTTCACTCTAGATTAATTAGAACAATGTCGATTCATATAAACAATCATTCATATACAATGATTGATAAGTACGACACAAAACAAATTGTTATGATAAAAAAATATCTGGTAGAATGAGAACAGAGACCATCTGCGAGCTTTATAATCGATCTGAAGGAATTGTTCTGGATGAATTCTCGAAAAATCTTAGCAGCTAAATAATGATCGTGTATAAGAATGAGACAACATATAAAACACCACTAACAAATTGAACTTATGAAATACAAAGAGCTGAAGTTTAAGGATTTAACAGAGAGAATGAGAAGAAACACTAACACTTCCTACTTCTCTGTACAACCCACTCATTCTATATAGATTAGAACTTTGTCAACTTATTAAAACTAGCTCTCATATAAAATAACTCATAAGTACAACATATAACAGATTGTATTTTGTAAAAAGTATATCTGGCGGGATGAGAACAGAGAACATCTCCCTTAAACCTAATCATACCTAAAAATTTATGACCTTCATATTTGATCTATAAGACATTCTTGATGACTTATGGGAAATTCTTAGTAGATAATGGATTATAGACGTTGCCGCAAAAGATCATATCGTTACATCGATCAGGTCGTTCAGGAGGGTATATTTCAGATCACTCGAGCTTTTTATAACTAAGAGGATATATTAGTAAAGTACCACGGAGGAACCTAACATGTTATTAAATTGCTGAACCTAAACATGTAATCATACGGTGTATGACATTACATGAGAATCTATTAACCAAAGACAAGCTATTGTAGTGGGGAATGATAGTGGATAGCTAGTGTTTATTCTGCCAAACAATGCCTGGAATTAATGAACATTCACCAATCACTGCTCTGTTTAGTTCACTCTAGATTAATCAGAACATCGTCGATTAATATAAACAATCAGTCATATACAATGACTGATAAGTACGACACAAAACAGATTGCTATGATAAAAAAATCTAAAAGAATGAAAATAGAGACCATCTCCGAGCTTTATGATTGATCTGAAGAAATTGTTCTTGATGACTTTTGGGACAATCTTAGCAGCTAAATAATGTTCGAATATAAGAATGAGACAACATATAAAACACCACTAACAAATTGAACTTAATGGAGTACAAAGAGCTGAGGTTTAAGTATTTAACATAGAGAATGAGAATTAGAAACACTAACACTTCCTACTTCTCTGTATAGCCCACTCATTATATATAGATTAGAACTTTGTCAACTTATTAAAACTAGCTCTCATATAAAATAACTGATAAGTACATCACACAAAAGATTGTATTTTGTAAAAAGTATATCTGACTGGATAAGAACAGAGAACATCTCCATTAAACCTAATCATACCTAAAAATTTATGACCTTCATAGTTGATCTATAAGACATATTCTTGATGACTTCTGGGAAATTCTTAGTAGATAATGGATGATTGACGTTGCCGCAAAACATCATATCGTCACATTCGGTTTCATCTATAATTGAATTCTAGAAACAAAAACAACTTGCAGACAAAGACTGATCAGTTCAAGTTAGATGATTTTAAAAGTTTGTGTTGCCGCTAAAAATTAAATCGTGTTTAATTATAATTTGATCCAGTTTCAAATAAAGAGCAAGCATGAGACAACATATGGGACTCCAAAAACAATCTTAGCAATCCTAACTTTACCTAAAAATCTACGAGCTTCCCCTTTGATCTACAAGACATTATCTGTATGACTTCTGGAACAGTCTTACCAATCAAAGACTGATTAGTTGAAGTTAGATGGATGTAAACTTGATGTTGCCGCTTAAGAAAAACTTCCCACTCCAGTTCTTTTTAAAACTAAATTTCACAAATCAAAAGCAAGCATGATCAAACGGCATACCAGATGCCAAAAACCAATTAAACTTTATAGAATAGAAAGAGGTCGATCAAGAGATTTGAAAGAGAGAAGAGAACAATCACTTACAGTTGATTTTGTAGAGGAGGAATTTGCCAACTGCTCTGTAGATTTGATGCTATCATTGTTTGAAGGAGAGAAGATGAAGAACTGCTCTTTAGATTCGAAGCTATCTCTATTCTCTCTTATGAACAGAGAAAATTGAAACCCTTGGCGCCGTTGATGAAGAGAAATGTGAGGGTTTCAAAAGAAGAAGACGTCTCTAAATAAATTGGAGGGAAAAAGTAATTAGCGCGTCCTTCTCTTTTTTAAGTTATTTGTAAATTTTATTTTTAACCCAAATATAATTTATCTTCAATAAATGCTGAAAAAATGAAAAATAAATAAATATACATATATATATATATATATACTAATAACTTTTTTAACGATCGGAATAATATTTTATAACGACTAAATATTTATCCCCTCGCTTATAATAAATTTAAAACTAAATCTACCGACCAAAAAATATTTTTTCGTTATAAATACACTTTTTACGACCTCATATATGTCCCTACATTAAGACATGGTCGTTAAAAAACACTTTTCTTGTAGTGTTACCGAAGCATTCATCATTCTGCTTTCAGAGCCTTTGTGGAAACGAAGGGGGTAGTTTCTTTTGAGGAACGGGCGGCTCAACATTGGAGTTCTTTACTAGCTCTTCCACTTTCTTTTCCTTATTACCTGCATCATCATCTCCCTTCTTTGGAGCTAGTTCCTCTAGTTGTAACCCACTTCTAGTACTTACTGTATTCAGTTGCTTTGGGTTGGGTTCCGTATCACCGGGCAGTCCACCTTGGGGATGTAAGTTCAGAGAATTGGCTACTTGCGCAACTTGTTTCTCTAAACTCATTTGGGACATTTGAATGTTTCTGATGTTTTCATCCTGCTTATCTATCCTAGCATTTATTTTTGTCCCTAGTTCAGCCATGATCTTTTGGAGTAACTCCTCATTAGTCATCACCCCTTTGGTGCACTTGGATTTGCGCCTTGGTTAGGATTTTGGTATTGCTGCCCAGCCCCTTGGGAATGATATTGGTTAGCCCCTTGCGGTTGGTTTTGGTTTTGGTTTTGGGTCCCACCCCATGAGAAGTTAGGATGGTTCCTCCAACTAGAGTTATATGTATTACCATAGTTTTGTTGCCCTCCACCTCTTTGCGCATTACCCACATAGTTCACGAAATCTGGGTTAGACTCACAAAAGTTGGTTTCATGTGCTCCACTACCACAGACTCCACACCAACTGGTTGCTTGTTGTACAACGTTTACCGGTGCTTGGTTTAGGGCCATTTGTTTGAAATTCATGGTCATGTTATGTTGCATTACATCCAGTTTGGTATTTATGGCGGTAGCTTGATCTACATCTAAGATTCCCGCAGCCCTTTGGGTTGTGGTTCTAGGCATTTCCCCCTCATACCCCGGGTTCCCTTCTAAGAATCTATCGAGTAAATCGAATAACTCCTCATGGGTTTTTGCTAGAGATTTTCCACCTGCTGCAATATTAATAAGTACACGTGCATTATAATATAAACCCTCAAAGAACGTGTGAGGAAGTACTTCATTATCTTGCATGTGGTGCGAGCAAACATTCAACACTTGTTTAAAATGAGCCCATGCTTGGTACATATTGATGAGTCCACAAATTGGACTCATTTAGGGCAATATTTTAATAGAAATTGTGTCCTCAAATGCTTATTTTATCTCAATATCTAATGAAAACCCTTAAGTTTCAGGTATTTGATGTTTGAAGGAAAACATGTACACTACGTCGCAAAAAGGATGAAAAGGCTAAAAAGAACGAAGAAATGAAGGCCTGAGGATCGCCGAGTTCACTTGGCGAGTCACCGAAGGGTCTTACTTCGCCTTTTGTTCCAGTGTACTGAGCCCTAAAGGAAAGGATCAAGTCAGCGGAAAAAGAGAGCAGTTGGCGCATCGCCGAGAAGTTCTGCGAAGCAGTACCATGTCACCCAATGACCCAGAGCACGACGATGCTGAAGGCTGGTGCAAAACGGCGATGAACTACACCAAAGGGCGAATCACCAAGTTGATCGGTGATTCCGACTAGTGACGCTGAATAATCCGTTGCAGCACAAATCTGTGAAAACTATAAATACTAGTTAGAGTTGTAGTTTTAAGAGTTGAACAATTATTATAATTTTCATATAAAATAGTACTTTTTGATATTTTTGCTCTAAGTTTGAGAGGGTTTTGAAGACTTGAATTCCAAAGGGTTTCATCTTCAAGATTTGGATTTTGGTCTCTTGGATTCTTCAATTTTGGCTTGTATCAAGACTTAAATCTTCATATCCAGTTGAATGCAAGCTCAATTTGGTATAAATTTCTATCTCTTATACATGTGTGGCTAAAAACCCCAATTCTTGGGGTGTGATTTAGAGAATATGGGTTAAGATAATTGTTGGGTCTTGCTTGCTGATAGTCTATTCGTAATTTAAATGTGATTTCATTTAGTGGTTGTGGATGAATTAAATGAATTTGTGATGATTCATGAAGATGGGTGGATAGTCCTCTTCATTAGATTCTAGTGAAGATTCTGCAGTTTCCTCAACATATTCTTGGGAATCGTCAACATATTCCTAGGAATCAGTGGAAGATTTGCTATCTTCGATATATCCATCTACGGGATAACTATCTTCAGTATCATGCTCCAAATCAATGTCATCAAGATGCTCTAGACTAAGGTCATTAAGATAACATCTGAGGTAATCGTCAATGGCACTGAGATAATCATTGGTTGGACTATCATCTTTCAGAGAGTAAAGCTCATGAACAACCTGGTAGTTCATACCCAATATAGGGTCTAAAAAACTATGTGTTTGGAAAACCATGTCTTCACCATTAGTGATGTCTTCTACGAGGGAATCCCATTCCTTTTCAGAATCTAATTTTTCATGATCTGAGATCGTCAACTCTTCAACGTTTGGACTCAAATCTACAAAGATAGAGTCGTCATTTGGGGCCTTGTAACTTAAGATCATCATAGCTCCAGGATCCGCAACCTTTTTGCGTTTGGACCTTGCTTGTGCTTCTTCAGCTCTCTTTTGAGCAGCCTTTGCATCTTTTCTCTCCCACACTAGTTTGGCTATGTCAAACTCAGGTTCCTCTTTATGTGCTTTAGCCACGCTAAATGAGAAAGCCAGTTCCGACGAAAAGTATCATTGTGAGCACATAGAGAATGGGGTAGACCTTGTGGGAGAGGATTGAGCTCTCCTAGGTTCAGGGTTACCATATCTTAATAGCTGGATCTGCTCTTTGATTGAGGCTACTTCACTTTTTTTTTGTTCAATAAAGTGGCTGAGCGACGTTCCTGGGTGACATATATCAAACTATATTGTTAGCAACCTTTTTTCTAATTCTTTCATTAGTACGATATGTTGAGTTGACGTTTGGTCCATATTTTTATCCATCAGACTCATTTTATCATGAAGCTTGACTTGTGAATGAGTAACGCCCCTGATGGACTGTCCGATACTGGTCAACACTCTATTTTGGCACATAGAATTTTTAAATTGCCAATTGAGTGTTGCTTCCATATCGCTTGCGGGCATATGTTCTCCCGTTGGCAGGGTAACTTTGTTTTGTGGTATTTTTGAAGTATGGGTCAGGTTATCCTTTTCGATTGTTTGGTAATTGGGTAAATCTTATGTGTGACTGGAGCTTGCAGAGGATAGCATAAATAACATTTTCGGTACAGGCTCTTTCTAGGAGGTGTTATTTTTTGATGGAGTTGGTAAAGCTGGCCAATCTTGGGGTTTATGTGAAACAAGGAATTGATATTCATCTTCATCCCACTTGGCTCTATCATATGAATATTCATCATATGAATAGTCATCTTAGTCTGGTTCATCATCATCTTCAGACCCGTAGTAATCTTCTTCACAATCCGTGCAGTCACAATCAATATCCCATGGAATATGTCATGTGAATGGACACTTGTACAAAAATACGCCAATATCATCATGATCAAATTTTTTTATCCAATCAAGATCATTTCCAAAAAACAAAGATATGGATTCGGAGTCTAGATTGTCTTTCAGACCGAGACTATTTAGAGGCTAGTATATATGTATAGAGAAGGTAGTTTTATGGACTTTTTTCAAGTGAAAGTGGTCAAAGCATATAGAGACTATATTATGAGATTATTTTTTTGGAGAAAGTAGGCTCAGTGGACTGGAGAGGTTGAGGATGGTCTCTCAACTTCTCATAGTTGATGACCCATGAGTCAGGAAGAACTTTGACAAGCTCTTCTCTAGATATTTGTCTTGGGATCTGGGTACACTGAGTGGTTCCATTGGTGGCATCTACATTTACGAACAAAGTATCTTGGCCACCTTGAGGAGATAGGTCTATCTCATGGTTTTGGACTCTCCAAGCCAGTTGATACTGAAGAGTAGCTTGTATGGTATCTCTATATTGAGGAGTTTCAAGTATTTGGACATGTATCTTCAATGCCTCCATTAGATACAGATCTGGTAGGGACATGTTGAAGTTTGGGAATATCGTAACAAAGACAGTCTATGTGTTGAGAGTTATTTCTGACGTACCCAAGTTTGCATGCTGGTATTCGTAGTATCTAGTATCTAGAAGGGAAAGACGCACCACGATGGGCTGGACTTTTCTTCCGTGATATGTTAATGCAACTATAACAACACCAAAATGGATATGGGTAAAACTCAGGCTTTTCCACTGTCAGGGAAAATCCTCTGGCATCTGCAAAGTGATGAACTGTTCTTGTTTATTTGCAAGAATAGGGTGCTGATCAAGTTTTGCCGCAACAACATATTCCTTGAATCCTTTGGGCTTTTGTTGAACCAAGGAGCGGATTTACATCCAAGGATTACAACTCTTTTACAAAGGAAGAATATGGGTTTAACAGTGGTAGATATGTGGACGATATTTTATTTTCTAGGGGTAACACATTTACTTCATAAAGGTAGTCGTATTTACACGACAACGTTTTACTCAGAGTAGGAGACATGTTTACCTTGGCTAAGGACTTACATGTACTAGACGTAGATGGGAAAGAAGCATCTTTAGAAGAAATGGAAGATGATGGTAAAGACTCTAAAATAGACATATTTTTGTAGTTTTTGTACAATAAAGACTCAGACATATATTTGTTTAAAAATCTAAGAAAAGACAAAAATTATTTGTTCTAAAGTCTAAGGAAATACACTACAACTAATAAATAC